GGGGTACAGGGTCAGGGTGGGGCAGGAAGGGGGGGTACGGGGTGCCAAAACTCTGAGGTGGACCCAAACTTGAAGTAGTCGCACCCCAGGATGGCTAAATGTGCAAGGATAGGGGGTAGCAGCTGGCAGGGAGGGAGTTAGAGCCCTGTAGGGGATGGCTAGTGACAGCCTGGAGGTGGCTACCAGCCAGCAGAGGAGAGGAGAGACTGGCACCCAGGGGAGATGGCCAGCAAGAGGCAGGAGGTGGCTACCAGCCAGCAGAGGGGATGGCTAGCAGCTAGCAGACCCAAGATTTGGTTCGGGGCTAGAGCCCACCAACATCGTTCCCAAAAGGAGCTACTAGCACCCAGGGGAGATGGCCAGCAAGGGGCAGGAGGTGGCTACCAGCCAGCAGAGGGGATGGCTAGCAGCTAGCAGAGCTGGCTAGACCCCCCAAGATTTGGTTTGGGGCTAGAGCCCACCAACGTTGCTCCCAAAAGGAGCTACCAGCACCCAGGGGAGATGGCCAGTGAGGGGCAGGAGGTGGCTACCAGCCAGCAGGGGGGATGGCTAGCAGTTAACAGAGTTGGCCAGACCCCAGCAAAGTTTGATTTGGGGCTAGAGCCCACCAACATCGCTCCCAACAGGAGAGACTGGCACCCAGGGGAGATGGCCAGCAAGAGGCAGGAGGTGGCTACCAGCCAGCAGAGGGGATGGCTAGCAGCTAGCAGAGCTGGCTAGACCCCCCAAGATTTGGTTTGGGGCTAGAGCCCACCAACGTCGCTCCCAACAGGAGAGACTGGCACCCAGGGGAGATGGCCAGTGAGGGGCAGGAGGTGGCTACCACCTGGGAGAGGGGATGGCTAGCAGTTAGCAGAGCTGGCCCCAGCCAGCAGAGGAGAGGAGAGACTGGCACCCAGGGGAGATGGCCAGTGAAGGGTAGGAGGTGGCTACCACCCAGCAGAGGGGATGGCTAGCAGCTAGCAGACCCAAGATTTGGTTCGGGGCTAGAGCCCACCAACATCGTTCCCAAAAGGAGCTACTAGCACCCAGGGGAGATGGCCAGCAAGGGGCAGGAGGTGGCTACCAGCCAGCAGAGGGGATGGCTAGCAGCTAGCAGAGCTGGCTAGACCCCCCAAGATTTGGTTTGGGGCTAGAGCCCACCAACGTTGCTCCCAAAAGGAGCTACCAGCACCCAGGGGAGATGGCCAGTGAGGGGCAGGAGGTGGCTACCAGCCAGCAGGGGGGATGGCTAGCAGTTAACAGAGTTGGCCAGACCCCAGCAAAGTTTGATTTGGGGCTAGAGCCCACCAACATCGCTCCCAACAGGAGAGACTGGCACCCAGGGGAGATGGCCAGCAAGAGGCAGGAGGTGGCTACCAGCCAGCAGAGGGGATGGCTAGCAGCTAGCAGAGCTGGCTAGACCCCCCAAGATTTGGTTTGGGGCTAGAGCCCACCAACGTCGCTCCCAACAGGAGAGACTGGCACCCAGGGGAGATGGCCAGTGAGGGGCAGGAGGTGGCTACCACCTGGGAGAGGGGATGGCTAGCAGTTAGCAGAGCTGGCCAGACCCCCCAAGATTTGGTTTGGGGCTAGAGCACACAAATGTCGCTCCCAACAGGAGCGACTGGCACCCAGGGGAGATGGCCAGCGAGGGACAGGAGGTGGCTAGCGCCCAGTAGGGGTGGCCAGTGACCCCAGGGGGATGGTGGCCAGCCCCAGGGGGTGACCAGGGGCACACTCACGTCGCACTGCAGCACGAACTGCTTGCCGCCGCGGATGCGGAGCAGGATGCACTTGCGTTCCTTCACCTGCGTCTCCTCCACCGAGTCGATCTCCTCCATGGTGAGCAGGGACTGCTGGGGGGACAGGCTCAGCCCGGCCCTCGCCCCCCACCCCCAAACACCTCCCTGTGTCCCCCCGGACCCCCCAAAAATGTCCCCATGCCCCTCCTAGTAGAATCATAGAATCATATGGGGTTGGAAGGGACCTCTGGAGATCATCAAGTCCAACCGCCCCACCGGAGTGGGTCTACCCAGAGCAGGTTGCACAGGATCTTCTCCAGGTGGGGTTTGAATGTCTCCAGAGAAGGAGACCCCACCATCTCTCTGGGCAGCCTCTGCCAGGGCTCTACCACTCTCACAATAAAGAATTTCCTCCTCATGTTTAGGTGGAACATCTTATACTCAAGTTTGTGCCCATTCCCTCTTGTCCTGTCCCTGGGCACCACTGATGAAAGACCAGCCCCATCCTCCTGACACCCACCCTTTCAGTATTTATAGGTGTTGATCAGATCCCCCCTCAGCCTTCTCTTCTCCAGACTAAAAAGCCCCTCAGCCTCTCCTCATCAGAGAGATGCTCCAGGCCCCTCATCATCTTTGTAGCCTCTGCTGTCCCCTCTCCAGCAGTTCCCTGTCCTTCTGGAACTGGGGAGCCCAGAACTGGTCCCAGTGCTCCAGCTGGGGCCTCCCCAGGGCAGAGCAGAGGGGCAGGATGACCTCCCTCCACCTGCTGCTCACACTCTTCCTGATGCCCCCCAGGGTGCCACTGGCCTTCTTGGCCACCAGGGCCCATTGCTGGCTCCTGGGCATCCTGTTGGCCACCAGGACTCCCAGGTCTTTCTCCTCAGAGCTGCTCTCCAGCAGGTCACCCCCAACCTGTCCTGGTGACCCCCCAGGTGCATCACCCTCCACTTGCTCTTGTTAAAATTCATTAGGTTTCTCCTGGCCCAGCTCTCCAGTGCCACATCTGCTTGTGCACACCCCTCGCCCCTCCACGCATGGCCCACCCTGATAGCCACCGGTGCCAGGCTGTGCCCGGTGAGTGCCGTGCTTGCCCCCATGTGTCCCCCCCTCAACTCCTTGCCCCCCCTTACCGGCGACTCGCCCTCCCCGCGCCACTCCAGGCGGTTGGGGAAGAGGTAGAAGTAGCGGCGTTGCCACTGCGTCAGGAAGGGGTTGCCCAGCTTGGCCATGTAGCCGTGCATGATGCAGTCCTTGCCCATGGCGTACTCTGCGCCCACCAGGGTGGGGAGAAGATGGGTCAAGCCCAAGCTGAGGTGAGAAGGGGTGTCGGGGGGGTGTTGTTGGGGGGGGGACACACACACACTCACCTTCCTCGTGGCCCAACTGCTTGTTCTTGGCCTTCTTGCGAGCCTCCAGCTTGTCGGTGTCGGCGTTGACGGCGTCGAAGACGGTCTCGGTCACCTCCTGCTGCCACCGCTCCGAGATGGTGAGGGGGAAGTTGCGGTAGAGCTCCTGGTCGCTCTCCAGTAGCTGGGGTGGCATGGGTGGGCAGGGGGAGGTGGGTCAAGGGAGGGGGTTAATGCCACCTCAACCACCTCCCCACCCCAAATCCACATCAGCCCTTCTACCCCCTCCCTACCTTGATGCCCTTCGTGTCCTCCTCATCGAAGGAGCCGATGTCGAAGGCATCAGCCGCGTTCACCTCGCCGCGGGGTGGGATGAGGGGCGGTGGGTACTGCGGGCAGGAGAGGGGGTTTAGAGGGGGTGGTCGCCCATGTGACCCCCCCCTCCCACCCTTTCCTGGGCATCGCGCCACTACCCTTCTGCAGAAAAACCATATGACATTCCAGCCCTTTGAAGAAGGGCTCCTCCTTCACCTCCTGAGCCCTGGGGAGAGAAGGGAGTGAGTGCTGCGGGGGCCGGGCTGCTGCACCAGCGTAACCCACCCTCCCTCCCTGCCCTGCCTCCTGCCCCCCGGTGCCCCCCGTGCCCCCCGGGGCCTCACCCGCGCCCCATGCAGCCCAGGCGCCGGTTGACGTCCCGCTGCAGCAGCCCCTCCAGCAGGGAACGCAGCTCCGGGGAGAAGGAGTCGGGCAGCTCCACGGCCTGCGGGGGAGAAGGAAGGGCACGGCGGCTGCCACCGCGGGGACACGCGGGCACGGGGACAGGGGCGTGCACACGGACACGCACCGAGACGTGCAGGCACTTACACGGGCACCAGAGGATGCTACCCCCGTGCAACGTGTGTGTACACAGTCACACACAACACACAGACGCATGTGCGCGCACACGTGCATGGCAGCTCACATATATGTGTGCACAGACACACACAGAGATGTGCAGGCACTTACACCTGCACCAGAGGATGCTACCCCCGTGCAACGTGCGTGTGTACACCATCACATACACACAGACACACGTGCGCGCACACGTGCATGGCAGCTCACATATATGTGTGCACAGACACACACTGAGATGTGCAGGCGCTTCCATGTGCACCAGAGGACACTACACCCGTGCAACATGCGTGTGTACACTGTCACATACACACAGATGCATGTGCACGCACACGTGCATGGCAGCTCACATATATGTGTGCACAGACACACACTGAGATGTGCAGGTGCTTCCATGTGCACCAGAGGACACTACCCCCGTGCAACGTGTGTGTGTACACCGTCACATACACACAGATGCATGTGCGTGCACACGTGCATGGCAGCTCACACGTGTAAACACCACACAGATGTGTGCACAGACACACACAGAGATGTGCAGGCACTTACACGTGCACCAAAGTACACTACCCCCATGCAACGTGTGTGTATACACAGTCACATACAACACACAGACACATGTGCGCGCACACGTGCATGGCAGCTCACATATATGTGTGCACAGACACACACCGAGATGTGCAGGCACTTACACCTGCACCAGAGGATGCTACCCCCATGCAACGTGCGTGTGTACACCTTACATACGCACAGAGGCATGTGCACGCACGCGTGCATGGCAGCTCACACATGTAAACACCACACAGGTGTGTGCACAGACACACACAGAGATGTGCAGGCACTTACACGTGCACCAGAGGACACTACACCTGTGCAATGTGCGTGTGTACACCATCACATACACACAGAGGCATGTGCGCACACACGTGCATGGCAGCTCACACGTGTAAACACCACACAGGTGTGTGCACAGACACACACAGAGATGTGCAGGCACTTAGACATGCACCAGAGGATGCTACCCCCATGCAACGTGCGTGTGTACACCATCACATACACACAGAGGCATGTGCGCACACACGTGCATGGCAGCTCACACGTGTAAACACCACACAGGTGTGTGCACAAACCCCCGTGTACCCCCCCAGCCCCCACCAACACACGGCGGGGGGGGGCACAGCAGTAGAGGGGCACTTGTGCCCTGCCCTGGGCAAAAAAAGGGGGTGCCCCAACTCACCATGGTGAGGGTCATACGGTCGATCTCGTGCTTGTCATGTGCAGGTGCTTCCATGTGCACCAGAGGATGCTACTCCTGTGCAAAGTGTGTGTGTACACCATCACATACACACAGACGCATGTGCACGCACACGTGCATGGCAGCTCACACATGTAAACACCACACAGATGTGTGCACAGACACACAGAGAGATGTGCAGGCACTTACATGTGCACCAGAGGACACTACAAGCGTGCAACATGCATGTGCACACCTAGCCACGTGTGAGCACAGACACATGAATGCGTGTGCACACACACATGCACGGCGGCTCACATGTGTAAACATCACACAGACATGTGCACAGACACACACAGACCTGCATGAACCTACACGTGCACCAGAGCACACTACACACGCACAATGTGCGTGTGCACACTGTCACATACAAGCACATCCACACGGACATGTGTGTGCACACACGTGCACGGTGGCTCACACGTGTAAACACCAGACGTGTGCACAGACACCACGCAAACACCCACGTGTAATTTAAGCCTCCCCACACGTGTGCGTGAACACACCCCCCCCGTCATTCTGCACACGCACAGAGAGATGGGTGTGAACACACACCCCAGGGCGGCCGGGAGGGGAGAGGGGAGCTCAGTGGTGTGCCCCCTCTACCCCGTGCCCCTCTGTGCCCACCCCCCAAGTGCCCCAGGTGGGCAGGCTCACCCCCGGAGCAGTTTGAAGAGCATGCAGCCCAGCGAGAACCAGTCGGCGCTGCTGTCGTAGGCCACCCCTTTCTGCAGCACCTCCGGAGCCATGTACCCGTGGGTGCCCCTGCGGGGAGGAAAGTGGGGGGCACAGAGGAGGAAGGAAGAGGGAGGGAGGGGGGTCAGACGCCGTGCCAGGCAGGTGGGGAGGGGCAGGTGGGGGCACGGGCACACTCACACGCTGGCATGGGGCTTCTTTTTGGAGAAGTCGCAAGCCAGGCCCAGGTCTGAGATGCGGACGTGCCCGAACTCGTCCAGGAGGATGTTTGCCGGCTGCCAAGACAGCGTGCCACCCCTCAGCCCGAGGGTTGCCCGTGGGCACGGGGTGGGGAGCGAGGCTGGGGGTGCCCACATGGGTCAGTGGCGGGGTGCTCCGTGGGATTTGGGGGTGTCCGTGGCACTGGGAAGTGCTGGTGGAGTCTGTGAGTGCCCCTCTGGGGTCTAAGGATGCCTGCGGGGTCCCCAAGGGTGCCCATGGCATCTAGGGGTGCCATCTGTGGGGGCGCCCAAAGGGTCTGAGGGTTCCTGCAGGGTCAGGGGCACCTATAAGATCTGGGGGTGCCATCTGGGGGTGACATCTGGGGGTGCCCACAGGGTCTAAGTGTTCCTGAAGGGTTGGGTTGCCCGGGGGACCTGGGGGTGCCCTCTGGGTGTGCCCACAGGATCTGAGGGTTCCTGCAGGGTCAGGGGCGTCCAAGGAACCTGGGGGTGCCCTCTGGGTGTGCCCACAGGATCTGAGGGTTCCTGCAGGGTCAGGGGCGGCCATGAGATCTGGGGGTGCCATCTGGGGGGGGCTTCCCACAGGGTGTCAGGGTTTCTGCAGGGTCAGGGGTGTCCAAGGAACCTGGGGGTGCCCTCTGGGTGTGCCCACAGGGTCTGAGTGTTCCTGCAGGGTTGGGGTGCCCAGGGGACCTGGGGGTGCCATCTGGGTGTGCCCACAGGGTCTGGGGGTTCCTGCAGGGTTGGAGGTGCCCTGAGGACCTCGGGGTGCCCTCTGGGGGGGGCTGCCCACAGGGTCTGAGGGTTCCTGCAGGGCTGGGGTGCCCAGGGGACCTGGGGTTGCCCTCTGGGTTTGGGGAGCACCCATGGGGGCTGAGGGGTCCTGCAGGATCTGTGGGTGCCTGTGACACCTGGGGGTGCCCACAGGGTCCCGGGGGGAGTTTCTACAGGGCCTGGGGGTTGCCAGTGGGGACTTGCAGGGTCGGTGGGTGCCCGTGGGGGTGCTCGGGGTGTCCGTGGGGAGGGTCACCTTGAGGTCACGGTAGACCACGAAGCGGCTGTGCATGTGCTCCAGCCCCAGGATGATCTCGGCCGCGTAGAACCTCATCTCTGCCTCCGAGAAGACGCCGTGCTGGGACAGGTGATAATGCAGGTCTCCCCCTGCAGCGACAGGGACCGGTTGCCACCCTGGCACTGCCCTCCACGCCCCAGGGATGGCGTGGGCAGGGGGCTTTGAGCCGGTGGCTTGGGCTAGCCGTGGCCCTGGGGGCGAGGAACAGCCTCGGGGTCCCCTTGGGACTCACCATTCATGAGGTCGAGGATGAAGCTGAGCTTGTCGGGGGTGTGGAAGGCGTAGGACATGCACACGATGAACGGGCAGTCCTGGCAGGAGAGAGGGGGGTCACGCAGTGCCAAGGGTGCCCCAGGAACACCCCCACCCCCCTCGCCCGTGCCACAGTTGGTAACCGGGGTGCCTGCTGCCCGTGTCCCCTCACCCCGGTGCTGACGAGGGACAACATGATGCGCTCGTTGAGGGCCAGGGTCTCCCCCTGCTTCATCTTGATGCGTTTCTTGTCCAAACACTTCATGGCGTACCTGGTGGGTGGGGAGGGCAAAGAGTCCCTTGCAGGGTCCTGCTGCTGCCTTGGTGACACGTCCCTCCGGTGCCACCACCACTGCCCTCCGGTGCCACCAACCGCAGCCACACCATCGTGTCCCCTCCACCACCAGCACCCACGGCCACATCACCGTACCCAGCTACCACCCACGGCCGTGACGTCCCCGTATCCCCCAGAGACCCGTAGCCATGGCAATCCTTCCACAACCCCCTAAACATCTGTCGCCACGGCAACACCCACTGCAGCTGCCCTCGGGACCACCACCACCACAGCCCCGACACCCCCAAAATCACACACACATCCCTCCAGCCCCCCACGATGGAGTGTGTCCCCCCCAGCCCTGGTTACATTTTGCCCGTGTCCGCTTTCCGGCAGCCATAGACTTCCCCGAAACCGCCGCGGCCGATGATTCGGTGCACACTGAAGTCGTTCATGGTGAGCTGGAAGGTGGGGGAGAAGGAGGTGGGGGTGAGCTTGCCCTGCACCAAGAGCTGCGTGTGTCCGTGGTTTGGGGTGGGAAAACCCCACACCCTGCCTCAGTTTCCCCCGGGTGAGGAACACGGAGGATGCTCCACGTGTCCCCGCGAGCACGGGCAGGTGTGGGAGACCCACTTGTGAGTGAGTGAAAGCCCCTAGGAGTGTGCCAGGGTGCCCGTGCCAGCCCTCGTGAGCCCTGGGGCAGCAGTCTCGTCACTGTGCCCACATTCCCCCTCCCTGGAAGTGCCCGGGGTACCCCCGAGGCGCAGGGGTCCCTGCTCACATGGATGTTCAGCTCCACGTTCTTCCACTGGCAGAACCGCGTGAACTTGTCACTGCAACGAAGCACAGAGAGGGCAAGAGTGGAGCCCCTGGAGAGACCCCCCCGACAAGACCCATCTCTCAGGGCAGAAGGGCCCCCTTGGACTCGTCTGGAGACAAGGCAGCACCCCCCGGGACCCCCGTCTGGGAACAGAGAGACCCTGGGCCAGACCTGGGGATGAGAAGAGCCCCCTGAGTCCCTGCTCTGAAGACAAACAGCCCTGGAGCTCCTATCTAAGGAGGGACCCCTGGCCCCTCCTCTGGGCCGGGAGACCCTGCTCCCCAGTGGGATGGGACACCCCAAGTCGCGTGGGACTGTCCCCCATCTCACCTCTCGATGAATTTCTGGAAGATGCCCCCACGCAGGTTCTGGCAGATCTCCTCAATGTAAGGCTGGGGGGGGGGACACGGGGCTCAGTGCTGGGTCCCCAGGGGACACCCAGGTCACCCCCACCCCTCAGGTTTGATCGCTATGTTACGTCCCCCTCCACCCTTGGGATTCCACATATCCCCCACACTGTCACCCTGTCACCTCCAGGCCCTTGGGGATGCTTCTGCCACCCAGGGACACCTGCGTCTCTGGGGACCCCAACATCACCACCCCTGTGGACCCTACCGTCACCCCAAGTCACCTCTACATCTGGGGTCCCAATCACCACCCTCTGATGGGCCCCCATTACCTCCAGCCCCCAGCCTCCTGACTGCCACCCCACGGGAACCCCCAGCAATCCCCCTCACTCCCAACCTGCTGGGGACCCCCTCACCATCCCTTGGGGTCCCCATACCTTCTGGGACACCCCACCACCTCCGGGGAACTCTGTCACCACCCTCTCACCAGCCCCTCGTAAGGATTAACCCTCCGAGTACCAGAGGTGGCAGGGACCCCCTCTCTGTCCCAGGTGATGCCCACCTGGAAGAGGTCTGGGGGCACCTGCTTCTTGCTCAGGCGGCTCTGGACATGCTCCGTGGCACTCTTGGAGAAGGGCTGTGAGGCAAGATGGGACCATGTCACCTTGGGCAGAAGGGACAGGGGGCAGAGGGGCAAGGCCTGCAGGGCACAGCACTCACGTGGGAGCAGGCCAGCAGCTCCTTCATGATGTAATGGTCGAAGATGTGACGGCTCCGGGCGGCTCGTTCTTCCTCCGAGTCTAGCTTCTCATACTTCTTGATCTGAGAAGGGCACAGCACCCATGGCACAGGGGCACAAAGCCCTCAGGATTGTGCCAACACGGGGCTGGGTGGCTACCAGGACCTGGTACACCAGGAACCACAGCCCCTCTGGGTACCACGTCCCATGGGTTATCACCTCCAGGTTCCCTGGGCACCGTGTCCCTTGGGTCCTCTGCGTGCTCTTGGTACCGTGTCTGTGGGCACTGGAGGTACCAAATCCCACCCTCAACCCTCCCTCGTGACCACGGGGGTTCATCCGGATGGGTGCCCCCACCTCACCTCCTCATAAAACTCCATCAGGGGTTTGGCCTCCTCTGCCTGGTTAAAGGCGAAGTCTCGGAAGAGCAGGTACCCTGGCAGGGACAGAGCCACGGCGTGAGAGGTGCCTGCCCCCCAGAGCAGCACTGTGTGCCCCACATACCAGGCTAAGGGGGGGGACAGGGATGTCCCCTAGGGCCTGCCTGTCCCCACAGCCACTCCCATGCCAGGCTTGAGGAAGAGGAAGTGCCAAGCTGGAGTCTCAGCAGGGTTTGGCAAGAACAGGGGGCTGGCACGGCGAGGAGCAGCGCTATAGGGCACCATGGGGCAGGGGTGCAGTGGGGTAACGAGGAGGTCGGTGCAGTGGGGGCAGCAATGGGGCAGGGGCACGGGCGGGCACCGTTGAACAGGCTGCCGTGGGGCGGACGTGCCCGGAAACCGCCAGAGCCGGCAGGAGGAAGTGAGAGGCGCTTCCTGCCCCGGACGGTTAGCGCCGACGTTGGGGGAAGTGACAGGGCGGGGGGGACATGGGGTGGGGGACGTGGCGCAGGGGGTTTGTGTCACGCTCGTGCCCCCCAAGCACCTCTCCCCAACACAGCCCCACAGCCCCCTCGCTCCCCCAGGCCACGCCAGGGGCAGAGGGGAACGGCCACAGCCACTACTGCTGTCACCCATCCAGCCCCACAGCCCCCCCACGCCTGCCCCGTGTTTGTGGGTGCCTATCCATGTGCCCCCCCCCTCCATGTGACCCGCAGCACCCCTTGTCCCCAGCTCACCGATCTTCTGTGCAAAGATCTTGTCGAACGTTGACACGTTGTTGGGCCCTGGTAGGGTCAGGCACAGGGTGCCCCACACCCTGGGGTCCAAGGAAGGTTGGGGAAGGGGGGGTCTCCCCTAAAGAATCCTCCCCGGTGCATGGCGTGCTGTGCTGTGGCGTGCCACGCTGTGCTGTTTGTGTGTGTGTGTGTGCTGGGTGTGCAAGGGGAAGTTGTGGAGCGGGTTGTGTGGGCAGGAGGGGGTGCGCGCACGAGAGCGGCACGGGCGCGGGGGCGGCGTGCGGGGCGGGGAGCACCACAACACGGCGTGTGTGTGTGTGTGTGTGCACACAGGGACGGGCAGGGTGTGCCAGCTGAGCCCCCTGCGTGCCACACACACGGCGTGCACACGTGTGGCTGCACAGAACAGGTTGGGTGGGAAGGGACCTTCAAGATCATCCAGTTCCATGATGGGGTGGTGGGGGGGACACCTCCCACCAGCCCAGGTTGCTCCAAGCCCCCTCCAACCCAACCTTGGACCCCTCCAGGGATGGGGCAGCCACAGCTTCTCTGGGCAACCTGGGCCAGGCTCTCACCACCCTCAGGATGAAGAAATTCCTCCCCAGATCTCACCTAAATCTCCCCTCTTTCAGCGTCAACCCCTTCCCCCTCCTCCTATGCCCCCCCTCCCTCATCCAGAGTCTCTCCCCATCTCTCCCGGAGCCCCCTGAGGGACTGGAAAGAGGGGCTACAGGTGTGTGTGTTTGTGCAACCACACGTGTGTGTGCAAGCAGCCCCCCCCCGTGTGTGCACACACACACACACAGAGTGTGGCTTCCCAGCGGGGACAGGCACGGCCGGGTGTGACAGCGCACCGGGCGGGGCGTGTGTCGCCGGGCTTGTGTACACACACACGTGTGTGAGCACACGCCTCAGCCGTGCCCGGGGAGG